TCAGTAATATAAAGCATAAAAGACAGAAGCATTGTAAGTAGTGTGAATAATTTCACATTGAAAATGAGAGCCATCAAAAGCACAAAGAGGAAAAAAAGATGCCTTGAAAACACCTGAAGATTAAAAAGAACTATGCATTTTCTATTAAAAAAATCTTTGCAAAGCCATAGTTAAATAAACAAGCAAAAAGAACACATACACATCCTTGGCTAGTGTCTACTTTTTTGTTCTCTAAAAAGTACAAATGGTTTTGATTACTTAGAAGGGAGTATTCCTTGAATGAGTCAGCTTGCAAGACCAGGGCTGAGCAGCAGAACAGACACCAAGAGAGCAGGGTGGCCCAGCCCTGCGGTACAAACACTGGGTACATCATTAAACTCCAGTGACAAAAGCACTGACACCTGCAGCATCCTGCCCTCAGACAGCACAGCCCCCCAGTTCCACGCCCTGTGATCACACATGTTAGATGTAAGTGAAGATGCATTAACGACTCAACAGGAGCCTCCTGATCTGATAACAGAGGAAAGAGTGCTGTTTCCCTACAGTTACTTCTGGATTTATATAATCTCACTGCAGCAACAGTTACACTAATGTTGCATAACAGTTTTTCAGAAAAAAAGACACGTATGAGTGTAGGTATATTTTTAGAGTGGTTATAGGTAGACCCTTTAGAGCTGCTAACTTAAGATACAAACATCTGACTCAGCATCTCATAACGGAATATCATCAATATCATCCTGAAGTCCTGACCCTCTCGCTAACCATTTTTGGGAGCTACTGCACAGCAAAATAGCATCTGTCAGGTCACTGGTAAAGTGTTTTCAGCACTGATAGACACAACACTTGACAGTTGAGAGTAATCTTCAAAAGCCTGAAATACGCTCTGTGAAACTGCACACAATGCACAGGGGAGGGCCAGCCAGAAAGCCCTGGATGCAGTACTTCCTGCTGCATGTTTCTGTAGGATTTCTTTTCATGTTTAAGAAATATTTTGTAGCTACAAAAACCTTTTTCTGCTGGCAGGAAGGCACCTCTACTGCTTGCTATCTGTTGCTGTTATGGATATTAGAAAGATGCTGAATTTTGTGGGAATAAAAGACTATGCTGAAAGCCATTTCAAACTTGTCCTTCATGCAGCGGCTAGCCTGATGGAAAAAGCAACAGTGAGAAGTCCTGAGGACTGCTGTAAGGCACATCCAGGATCCACACCTACTTCTCGCTTTGGCTCCACTGTGCCCATTTCACATTCCCATTACACTGCAAATAATGTGGTCAGTTGCAATTTAGGAAAGTCTCTGGCAAACCATAAGACACGCTCGTGGAATAAATGCTTTGCCAATATACATAAATACATGCGTGCACAGAAGTCTGCCTAGAAATGTAGTTAGATTTCCTGAAAACTCCTAAAATCTAGGAGATCTCAGTCTCCATTCACTCCTGCAGCTCCTCTTGAGACAAGTTACTGTGCTCTGTTGTCAGTGGTTGCTCACTTCTGAATCTGGTTTAAAGAGCTCCTAGCGCAGACTTAATGAAGTTTCTTCTGAAAGGCCAATTGTATTTCCTTCTGTCTTTTTGACAAAACTCATTTAAAATGGGCCTTTCATTTCATTATCTACTCTTCATTTTTGTGAGTTTTATTCCTCAGTTGGAGTAAATGTTACAGTTGGAATTGTGCCTGTAAACAAAGGGCTTATTTTACAAGGTTTCTGAATCCTATCTTTTACAATTGGACAGGGAAGGGAGAGCTCTGCAGTGCAGGCTCCAAGGCTTGCTGCAGGACACGTGCAGTGTGAGCACAAGGCACAGGAGTTCACAGGGTGAATGTGGGGACTACTCAGGCAGGTAAGTGCCTCATACAAACGTTAGACCTGAAGTGTGCCTGACTCCTCATCAGTGGCTGGACTTAATTCTCTTTCAGCTCCTGTGCCTGAGAAGAATGACATCACAAGCAACACGTAGCAATCCCTTAAGTACCTCATGGAACCAGGAAAATTCCCCATCTCTGGAGAATCAAAACAGCTTCTGAGCCACTTTCCGTTCCCCCCCCCCCCCCCCCAAGAGTGTGGAGCAGCAGCAGTGTTCTCAACATGCCACAGAGGAGTTCTATTCGCTTAGCATCCTGTGGAAGATAAAGACCTGAGGGCTCTCCACAGCACAGCTGTGCCCTTTTGCACCCCCAGGGAAACCACAATCAGCTGCCTACTTCCACACCTCTCAGTCCTACCTCAAAATTTACTTTAGAGCATTTAAGACTGAAAATACGAAAACTCTGCAAAGGAGGCAGGCGCAGCCATAAATGTAAAGGGGCCTCACTGACTGTCAATCAGTAGAGCTCAACTGAAATCAATATAAAGTCACAGTTCAGCCTAACACAGAACCAGCAGAGACGGGCCTACTGGTCAACACTGAGCTCTGCCTGTGGTCGTATGCCAACAGCAAGCAGAAGCCGTCCCGGTCTTATTTACTCTAGTTGGCAACTTCCCTTAGAAGAGACTTAAATTCAGCAGCATACAGGCCAGCAGAGCTTTTTTCTCTGCCCATAACTGCCAGGGCTGGAGCCAGCAGCTGCTGTACAACTAGCTGGAAGAGAGCTGGTCTGAACATGTGAGGACAAGAAAGGGGAACAGCCTACTGGTTAACATCTATAGAAGAGCTTGGAAGCCACTGACACGGACTAATTGCTTACTGCAGAGTGAATTTCCCACTCTGTAAGCTCATTTGATATAAACTTCCTAGTTACATCCAAAACCCTTCCTGCAGGACTGATGTTAGTACATAAACTGCTTAGCCAAGCCCTGTTCAGTGTTCTGGGAAACACTCCGAAAAACCAGGATGCGAGAGAAAGGAATAGATAACTTGAGCATCCTCTTCAATGTGCCTGACTAGAAAAAAACATCTGCTTGACATTTGGGCTCTGCTGTCCACCATTTATTCCTGAAATAACTGTGTCTTCCCCGTTTCTCGATTTGCCTTTTTCTTCCCAAATGCAACCCTGTGAGCATTGCCTTCAGTACAACATTCACCTTTGGCACATGCCCATGCCATCCTGCTCTCATGCAGACCTACCAGCGCTCGCTGTGCAGCTCAGTGGGATAGAGCTGCTCCTCCCTGCAGCATGGGCTTCAAAAGGGCTCAGGAGGCTACCAGGCCTCCAGCCTCTTCCATCGTGGCCTTGTTCTGATGTAGGTTACACAGAACCCATGCAGCCAGGTCATGCTGTACCTACACTGTTAGCTTACGCTTGTATTTCGCGTCATGAAAGCTTCAACAAGAACTCATGTCTTGCAGCTGGAATAGCTGGTGCCAAACCACTTGCCCCCTGGAATGACATTTTAAGTTACTCAGATCAAATGGCAGCATGACTAAGCATGCTGAGAAAATATTAAATCTTCATCTGGTTTCTTGACAAGCACTGGTAAATACATCATTTCCATCTCTTCCATCTCCTAGTTTACTCCTTTTGTCAGCAACAGTGACAAAAAAAGGTTCTAATTAGACATAGCTGATCAGGTGGAATGGCACACTATTGATGATCAAGAAGTCACTAACTTCTCTAAAATCAGGTTGGCTATTTTTCTCATGGAAGCAGGAGATTTATCAATAGAGAAAAGGATGCAAAATCCAACAGGAAAGGTATAATTACACATCAGGACTATACGCTTTATTATGACACAAATGTAAAAGGATTAGTGGGTGGTAAAAGCTCTTCTGGAGGGGTGAACAAATGATGTTACTCATAAAGGAAGAACTGCACCAGTACAAAAATAGAATTAGGAAGACTGTTGTATGCATAAATGAGATTTTGTTACTTTTGGTGGGTAGGACTTATTTTTTTGTTTTGGTAGATTTGTTTCTGTGTGTGTATTTTCCTGTTTTTGTTTGTTTTTAAGGCAAAAGACTGGTTAAAAAGTCTAGTAACTCAAATAAACGAGTTATGACATATATGACAACTGATTAATTCCACTACTTTTGTTTTTCTCAAACATTTTGATTTAACTACCAGCAATGAAGATTCCAAATACAATTTTCAACAACAGAAACAAAATAAACCTGCCAAGCAGCACTTAACTTACAATATTTTATTGCAAGACAACACATAAGAATAGCCCATTCATTTCAACACAAAAGTTATCTTCCACTGTTTGGAGGCTTAAAACCTAAATGAGTTGCTTTAAGCTGAAGCACAGAATTAACTCTTAAAATATCTGTGCATTTGATGATAACCTCAAAGTTCTAAACAGAATGCAGAGCTTGTCCTACATTACTAAAATGCCTAGAAGTATTTTTACTTGTATGATCTCATTCACAAGTGAAGCAGCTTATATTCAGGATCTGATAAATAAAATGCAACATTGGTATTTTGTGTATTAGTGGAAAAAAGTTGCAACTTCACCTATAATCATTCACTTCCAGTGAAATTTCATGGTCTGCATAGAAGCGCAGTTCCTTAACGTTTCACAAGAGCTCTTGTAAGAGCAACAGGACAAATAACGCAGTGCCTCCTACATCTGACCTTCTCAGCATCACACACCTGGCGCATTACTGCACTGACAGTTCTCACTGTCCTTACTACACTCTATTGTGATAACACACATGCAGATAATTAACTGTAAAATTTCCAGTGTCTCGTCACCTGGATGTGTCAATCCAACCCTTACAGTTTTTCTACAAGATTCAGTGCAAGCAAACTGTAAACTTGGAAAGATGCTGTTTAGATAGAAAGTAAAGTTCATGGGAGTATGCCACTGCAGGTCTACGTTAAGAGACTTAAAACAGGACACACAGAAGGAGCAGAGTTACAAGGAAAACTCTGCAGGTAACTGACAGAAACGCAGGAAAGGAATGGATTACTGTAGAGGAAGTCACAAGGAGGTCAGCAGAAAATACACTGTAAATTAAGGCTCAGAAATCCTATTTCTGAGCATAGTAGTAACAAAAAGCAAAGAAATTTTAGTTCTGGAGCTATTTCATGTTTCACTGCTCTGAAGAATCCAACTCACCTGAGTATGCCCAGTAAGGATCCCCCGAAGCCTTTCGCCTCCGTATCTGCACAGAACTACCATGTCTGTTTTCATGCAGAGAGCCAACATAACCTTCAGTCAGAGCTGGGAAGAGAAAAGTAGGAATCGTTAGGAAAGTGGTCTTTACTCCCTGGAAGTTTACATTGCAAAGCTTAAATCTTCGCTGAGCAGAAACTACAAAGTTGGCACCGCAAAGAAAATTAGCAGGTGTGCTCCTCATCCATGGAGGCCCAATGCTCAAAGATGATTCAGAGAAGATAGGACTCATCAATGCCTTTATTCTTATCTAGCACGTACCAGTCTAACTTCAGTACTATCCATAATGATATTCTGATATACACAAGTAAACAAAAGGCAAGATGTGTCTGATTTTCCTCTGACCTCAAGATGGCCATTCAGAAAACAAGCTACCAAACTAGTAACTGTAAACCTACACAGAAATGACCAAGATCCTTGAAAGACTATAAATGGAAGCACGTTATCCTTACTATCACAACTTTGTTTTAAATCATTTAGAACAGCCTCATTCAGGAGGGAACAAATCTCTACATATAGCCTGCAGACCTGAGCCCACAGCACACGGGGTAACAGCCTAAACACGAGCAGGGCTCCAGAAACATCGCCTCACAGGATTCATCCAAGCAAAGCAGACACACAGTGCTGCCTTCCAGCCAGAGCAACGCTGCGTGTGTCAGATGAATATCCAGCATGCAACACCAACGCCTTCTGACATAAAAGGGAGAGGCCAGCAAAGAAGGAATCCTTGTAAAACTTCACAAGCTAGAAGGAATTAAATTTAGCAACCAAAACATAAAGAACACATCCTACACCGAAACCCAGTAATTTTTCTTGTGAAGAAATACGTAACTTTCACAAGGAAGTGCTTTTTTTTTTGTTGTTGTTGTTTTTTTTTGGGGGGGAATGGGGGGAAGGGTGGGTGGTAAGGAGGGTTTGCATGCAAATTTTATACAGTATTTCTGTACATCTCATGGAACCCAATGGGAGGTGCATGACTACACAAATGTCAATAACAAATCTACAATAAATTCAATCTTTCTCCAACATCACAACTGGAACTTGCCATGCTCTAATAAACACACCACCAAATAAACCCATATGCAAAATGTGAAGAACAGGTACACGCTACATGACTCAATGGCAATTTAAGTCCAACTGATCATTTATTTGATCAGTAACTAGTGAATTATTGAAAGTAAAACTTTAGAAAACTGCCCAAAGCATCTCTACCCACATACATACAGTCACTGAGCTTCAGATTCCTGTCTGCTCCCAGGCCAACTACAGCTGGTAGCAGATCTTTACCAAATGTCAAGCCCTGAGATCTCCAGAACTTTGCAGATGCTTCTGGTTAGCACACCCTTTGGTGCCACAGCAGCAGAGAACAAACTGCAGCCAACAGGTACTACATAGACAACCTGCAATCTTCAGCAAGGGTCATGCATTGCTGCAGGTTTTGGAATGCTGAAATGGTAAGAAAAGCCATGCAATCCCAGGAAAGGCACTGCAGGTCTGCTCTCATCAATTTCTTCCCTTGTGCGAACAAAGGCACTAATTGTGCCATTTATTATGAGCCTCTGATTTGAATGAGTTTTCCAAATTTCTTGGCAACTTTCCAAATGCTAATTCACTCCAGGCTGAACTAGAAACACTGGAACATGCACTATGAGGGTTTGTAGGCAGCTCTACACCACATACCTTATTTTCTCTTCTGATTTACCCCAATATGCCTACCTGGTTGGGAGGCAACAGACATTTGCATCAACTGGAAGGAACAGATGAGAGATACAGAGACCCAAACTGTTTTGGCAAAACGAACAGACAAGCAAACACCACAGACCATGAACAGCTAAGGAATGGAACACAGAACTAACCCGGGAGAGTGGCTGGAAAGGCTATCAGGAAAAACTAGCCCCATTACTCAAGAAGAGAAAAATCTTGTATCCTGGGAAAAATATCTTAAGTCCCTCTTTACTACTAAAAGAGAGAAGCAACTCTTTCCTGAGCATCATCTACACAGAGGGAGCACATAATTGTGGGTTCATCCCCCATCCCCCCCCGCAAAAGCTATGATTCCTGCAGGTAGGAGGACGATATCACACTGCCACCTCCAAGGAGGAAGCTGCTCTTGTGGCTCTGTCTCAGTGAGCCCTGCTGTGTGCTTTACCATCAAAAGAAAGGAACTCATTCAAATCATCTGCATGTGTTGAAAGGAGAAAGGCTTTGAGTCAGTGCAAAGCATCCAAAACTGTGAAGCCCTTTGTAATCCTGGCTTGCACTGTCAAAGAGCCATACGTCAACCATGGAACAAGTTATGAATCATACTGTTGATCTGCAGTATTTTCTGTGCAGAAAATTAAATTATGCAAATCCAGGCTTTTATGAATGCCTTACTTCAATGTGAAATTGAACATTTGCTTTAGTCAGCATTATATTTACACAATTAAAAACCTGGTATTCTAGTAAATATATGCATTTTCAGTTTTCTGTACGTATACAATAGATTTGTACATTTATCTACACTCATAAATAGTGAAGGGTCATGTTATACACAGGTTTAATTATACCAAAGCACAAAGCAAAAGGACAGCTCAAGCACTTGTCAAGAGAACTGTAGATGAGAACTTGCTGGTTGTGCTGCTAAACATCTTCTGCAGGACTGAACATGAAACAAACTGGATCACACTGTTCTAAATAAAGCCCTGCAATGATGGTAGGCAGCCCAATGGTAATGACAACAGTCTCCTAATAGACGTGCAGTAATTCAGCAGCCATTAGCCATGTAGAGAAGATAGAGGTCGACTAGATAACTGCAGAAACTCTAGGAAAAGGATGACAGGTCAAGACCCTGGCCATGCAGTGAATTGGGAAGGTAATGGTGTCTTTGACATAGAAAACGCAATATTCTCCTCCCAGCTCCTCAGCCTGCCTGCAGTATGGCCATGTACCCTGCACAGGGCGACGTGAGCAAGGAGAAAACACTGCAGGAACAAGCAGCTATTGTTGGCAATATCTCATGCTGATAAGGCTATCAGGAAAAGACAGGCTCAATCTTGAGGAGCTTTTGTTGCTTGCTATCAGCTGGGGTCAGGGAGTGGGAGGTGTGAGGTATACAACAGAGCATGCAGGAGATTTTCAGATTCACCTGTTGTGGAAAAACTGAAAATACATTTGCCTGAACCCAAACTTACCCTTCATTTCTACCTTAAACAGCCAAAAGTTTGGAAGAGAAGCATCACAATCAAATTATTAAAAAAATGCTTCTTTACATGTCAGACATTTTACTTTTTCCAGGTTTCGGGGGGCACCAGGAATGGACCTTTTGATCAAGGCAACCCAATGACACCAGTGAAAAGGTAGCAGGCATCCAAGCACTGCTGAATCTTCCTCTTTCACTGGAGAAAACATCCAGCTAAAGGTTTTACTCCAGTCATTAGAGTACATGCATTCATTTTTGTGCATCATTCCAATTCTACCCTTTCAGAAGTTATATGTGGAAATAATTGACAAACTCGACCGATATCTTTTGCTTGTATAATATGAGAACAAGTACTAGAAAAAGTACTTAAGAGTTAAGTTATTAATGCTCCTCACTGCGGGTTTCCATGAGATTTTCTCAGCTGGGAGACAGTTAACAGCTCAGGAACAGAGCAGCCAAGTGATTTCCTGCTCCACTCCCACAGAACTGGAGACTGGAGAACAGCCAGCAATTAGATGGGCTGGTCCAGCACGGAGCAAACACAAGGAGTCTCTGATCTTCTGGGAACCCTGCAAAAGTGGGGGAAGTGGAAATCGGGACAATAGGAGGGGAGGAACATGCTGTTGGAAGACTCAAAATGGAGCATCTAAACTAGATGGATGGGGAGAGAAATACACAGCAGGAGACAGGAGGAAAAAGGAGAGCAGGAGACCTTACCCTGCAAGGTTTGATTTGATACAACGTGCCAGTGCTGCTGGCAGAGGAGCAGGGAATGCCACGATGTATGGTCTGAGACTTACAAATATACAGTTAAAAAAAAAGAAGGTGGATCAATCTGAGGCTCAGATACACAAGTGTGAAATTAAATCCCAAGCAAGTCCTCTGGCTGCTGGTGCAGCGCCGGTGCCCATGGCGTGTGACACCTGCAGTCGGTGGGGCTGCGCAGGTGCCATCGCAGTGACTTCTGCAGGGAACAGGGGATCCTTCACAGCTAGCATGGAGAAATCTCTTGCACACAGTTTCATATAATTTTTATCGGTACTCAACGCTACATGATTTTAGATGATGTGCTAAATTAATCAAGCCCTACTGCATATCTGCAGACAGCAAAGCAATGCGATGCTGGGACATCCCTTAGCATTCTGATCAGCTTCCCATTTGCACTGTCTCAATATATTAAGTTTCCAATAAAAATTATTTGATAAATGCCCTCAAAGGCATGATTAGGTAATTCCTGCTTGAATACCTTACTGGTATTCATAGTTCACATGAACACACAAAATTTTATCCCCAATCTACCTTAAATATAAAGCTATTATGCTATTCACAGAGATTATACCCTGGGCATTAGTGTTTAAAAGGTATCAAGCCATGGGCTGTGTAAGAAAAACTCTTTTTAAGATCAATACTTCATTTCTGAATGGCAAAATCATTAGTTACGACAGTAGTTTAACAAGAGAGTGTGCCAGACTCAGATTCATTTAAGCCTTCTCTGAAGAAAAGGGTTGCACCCAAATTTGTTTTCAGCTGCCCTGATTACAGCAGTGCAGAGTCAATGGCACACACACAGCTCAGCTCATGCTCTGGCTGCGGGCTGCCCTGCAGCTGAGTCTGACATAGCCCAAGTCCAGGTTGGGGACACTTGGAGTGATGTGCTTCAACCTGGTCCTACTGCTGGAAAACTGGGATGTCTTTGGAGAAGGAGATTTGGAATCTGGAGAGCTGTTAACGCCTGAAAACTCTTAAGATGGGAAGGAAAAGTCTTGGTGGCATTTAGGCAAAAAGCACTAAATAGTAAGGAATGCCAGCAATTAGTTCCTTATCAACTTGATTCTTATGAAAGAAACTTTTTCAAAAAACAAGAAAA